ACCCGGAATGGTTTTAGTGTCAGCTAGGAGTGGTAAACGAGTGGGTCGAGTCGAATATGAATCGATCGAAAACGAATTAAATAAAAATGGGTAAAATACTCTACTCAACTCATATTTTAAATGGGTAAAAGCGAGTTACCCAATGTATCCATATTATTCCATGAATAAGTTTCTCGCATGCTCAATGAGCTCCAAAATGACCAAGTCATAAAGCATTTCAAAGACATTAAATGATCAATTTGGATAATGAAGATGATACTCAATACAAAATGACCAGTTTCTATTACATGTATCTGGAACACTTGTGACTTGACAATTCAGTCTGCCTAATCCACCAAAATGAGTACCTAAAAGTCACATTTGTGGACAACATTTGTGTACTTGGTCATGACCTCTAAAACCCCTATGGTTTGTCCAAGTATGTTAAATATTGTTGCTACAATGTGAGATGGTGTTAGGCCAGCTTCCGCTAACTGATCAACTGGAGATCCATGGTTAATTGCTCGGCAGCATGTTAACTCTAAAAAGACGAAGATGTTGCACCTACGAGGCCACCACTTCCAACAAAATTTCCACAAACTCTCAGTTATTTCTGCTATTGTGGATTGTCCTTTGAGATGCGATGATCTGATAGAAAAAGAAAACAAAAAAAAACAAGATCGTAAGTATGCAGAAATTTTTAGATAGCTAATATATGCATATGCAGGATATCAAAAAACTGAATTTGTTTTCTCACTTTTCCCACATACACACACCGAGAGTTTAGAGAACTACTACCATGCAGCTCCAGATCCATTTCCATTGAAAATTGACTCAATGTGATCAATACAAACACACTCTCGATTTGCTGCTATTAAAAAGGACGGCAACGCCTTGGTTAATGTAGAGATTACCATTAACTACATAAACAAATACACCTAAAGAGCACCTTTTTCCAAAATGATCAAACAAATCTCAATGTGCTGCTATTAAAAGAAGGAAGATGGATTTTGGAGAGTTGCATATCTAAGTTCAGAAAGATGAGAACAGTTGATAATAAATTGTTATCAACAACAGAGAGTACTAAGAACAATATAAAAGAAAGGCAGAAAAATGCGAGTTGCTATTAAGTCTTACCTCTAAGTTTATCAACATAAGGTTGAAGGTCAACAACAATCTCATCTTCATCAGAATCTGATTCGAATCCATCAAGATCTTAAACAATTTTTCAAAAAAAAACAAGTCACTACAGTTCTAAATGCAAATTCACTAAATAAAATGAAACAAATGAAACTAGAGAAGATAAATTTACCTTCTTGTCCATAAATCCAATCCCTAGTACATAGTTTTGCCTCAGCATTTGCAGGAAGAATAGAACTTCGAAACTTTCCAATGACACGACTGCCGGTGCTAAATGCAGATTTAGAGGCTACTGTAGTGATGGGCACACTCAAAACATCCTGTGCCATTAATGAAAGTTTGGGATACCTTAGTTTGTTATCCTTCCAAAATCCAAGTACATCTAGATTCGGATTTGTTTTACGATCAACATTAGCTTCTTCCAAATATAACTCTAATTGTGTTTTACCTGTACTCGACTCTAACTGACTTTGAAACACATCAAACTCCTCTAATGCTTCAGTCATTCTATTTCTACTACTACAAGCATGCTCATCTGGTAGCGAAGTTCACAACGAGGTTGTAGCAGATGGTATCAAGTACTAGTGTACTCGACCACGCTAGTATTATACAGGCGCAAAATTGCAGCAGCGTTATCAACCGCGTTTTGCAACTCAGCCTCATCAGTTTTGTCCGAATCAATGCTCTCAATAGCACATTTTTCCTTATTATGAATTTAAACTGAGGGGCAGAGTTGTGAAACCGCGGGACCTGGAGTATGTCACCGACTCTGTAACGACATATACCACCAGTGTAGGTTGTGATCACGAGCTCGTATTTTTTCCCACCTCCACGTTGGCTAGGTCCACGAGTCGGGATGGGGAGTCCTGAGGGATTAATTCAAAGTAGCACATATTGGGCTAATAGTGTATAACATACTTCAGATGGCTTGCACATTGGGTTCAAATTGAGTCCAAAGTAACACTCGTTATCACATCCACAATAAGTAGTATTAGAAATCTGAAAAAATTAATAAGGCTATAACATGTTATCATGTATATAAAGTAATTAAATCTTGCTAAGCAAATTTATTTACATACCTGTCACAATCACATCCAAGTACTTTGTATTTGGCCAAATTCTAGTAATAATAATCCCTTCCCAGTACTGGTTTTCGCATTCCTTGATAATGAAACTCCGCGAGTTCACGATTTGGTTTGAGTATTTTGGAGATGAATTCCCTAATTGAAGGGTCAGAAACTCTGAGATTTAATATCCCAAATGCGATATCTTTAGCAAGTTGTTGCCAATTGAGTTGAAGAAAATGAATAGCTCGAAGTAGACCACAAAGCATTTGTGTACATGCTCTGGAAAGAGTCGACACAGAGAACAACTTCGTTGGGGCTAGTATACACATTGTAAGGATCGTAAGGCCTCTCATCTTGAGGAGGTCCCTTTTGTAGTGAAGACAGTTCTTGCTAATTATGCTTTTATAAATAGAAAGTACAAGCCAAAATCAGGAGCATACCTGTTCACAATTCCAAAATCGGAAGACAGTCTAGATCAGGAGCATACCTGTTCACAATTCCAAAATCAGAAATGCTCAAAAAATAATATTCATATATATAATGACAACTCTCGCAAACAAGGTAAATATTATAAGGCTGTGTACAGTAGTTATTTCTATTCTAACTCATCTTGAGTTATGGGCATCAACTTTCTCTCACCAGCAGATGTCCGCAAGCTACGAACAAAACAAAGAAAAGAGTAATATAAAATTCAGTATGATAATTCATATCACACTAATTTGAAAGGTAATTATTTAATCTCACCTAGTCAGGAACTCAAAGATGGGATGAGAAATTGGAGAACGATCTCCATTATCAGGATGAATTTCCTCATATGTGACAATTGGCATTTCAGACTTGAATGTCACCAAGTTGGCTCTTTGAAGATACTCAATGTTGGCATACAACCAAAACTTTCTCTTGAACTGAATCAACATTTCTAGTCATTTCTTCTATGAAGAAGGGACTTAGCATCTAGTCACAATACACTATAGAGAGATTTTGGAACATAAATTTTTAATCTTCTAAAGTGGGGCCTCCATGCCTAAGGCTCGAGGCCCCACCACCCCGCCCGCCCTCAAGGCACCGTGCCCTGAGGCCCCCCTACCCCCTTACCCCCTACCCCCTCCCCCAGCCTCGAGGCATCGTACCTTGAGGCCCGCCACCTCCACCCCCGGGGCCTCGAGGCACCGTGCCCCGACACCCCACCACCCCCCAAGCCTCAACGCGTCATGCTCCAAGGCCCCCCCACCACCACCCCCGGGCCTCGAGGCGCCGTGCCCCGAGGCCCTCTGACTGAAGCTCAAAGAAGAGACCTGGTTCGTTTGCTCAGAGAGTACATTGATGTATTTGCCTGGTCCCCACCCTCAGGCCACGAGGCGGCGTGTCCCGAGACCGCCCAGCTCCCAAGCCTCGAGGCGCCGTACCTTGAGACCCACCCGCCCCCGGGCCTTGAGGCGTCATGCCCCGAGACCCACCCACCCCACCTCCAGGCCTCGAGGCGCCGTGCCCCGAGGCCCCCCACCCCAACCCCCAGGCCTTGAGGCGCCGTGCCCCAAGGCCCCCCACCCCCACCTCCAGGCCTCGAGGCGCCGTGCCCCGAGGCCACCCACCCCCACCCCCAGGCCTTGAGGCGCCATGCCCCGAGGCCCCCACCCCACCCCCAAGGCCTCGAGGCGCCGTGCCCCGAGGCCCCCCACCTCCACCCCCAGGCCTCGAGGCCCCCCACCCCCAGGCCTCGAGGCGACGTGCCCCGAGGCCCCCCACCCCACCCCCAGGCCTCGAGGCGTTGTCTCCCGAGGCCCCCCACCCCACCCCCAGGCCTCGAGGCGCCGTGCCCCGAGGCCCCCCACTCCACCCCCAGGCCTCGAGGCGCCGTGCCCCAAGGCCAACCCACCCCCGGGCCTCGAGGCGCCGTGCCTTGAGACCCACCCACCCTCGGGCCTCGAGACGTCGTGCCCTGAGACCCACCGACCCTCGGGCCTCAAGGCGTCGTGCCCCGAGGCCTCCCACCCCCACCCCTCGAGGCGCATTGCCCTGAGGCCCCCCACCCCCATCCTCAGGCCTTGAGGCACCGTGCCCCGAGGCCCCCCACCCCCACCCTTAGGCCTCAAGGCGCCGTGCCCTGAGGCCCCCCACCCCCACCCCTATGCCTCAAGGCGCTGTGCCTCGAGGCCCCCTACCCCCACCCCCGGGCCTCGAGGCGCCGTGCCCCAAGGCCCCCCACCCCACCCACCCCCGGGCCTCAAGGCGCCGTGCCTCGATACCTCCCACCCTCACCCCCAGGTCTCAAGGCGCCGTGCCTCGAGACCCCCCACCCTCACCCCCGAGCCTCAAGGCACCGTGCCTCGAGAACCCCCACCCCCACCCCCACCCCCAGGCCTCGAGGCGTCGTGCCCCGAGACCTCCCGCACCCCACCACACCCCGGGCATCGAGGCGCCATACCCCGAGCACCCCCCCCCCTCCCCTCCCTGGGGCCTCGAGGCGCCATGCCACGAGGCCCCCCCACCTGCAATTCAGTTAAAGTTAGCAGATTCCAATTCAAAGAGCCAAAGAGCTGAAAAGATATAAGAGGGTTAAACATTTTTATACCTTAGAGGCTCTTAAGTTTTTATATGTCACAGGCAATTGTAGCACATAAGTGTTATCAATGTTGACACTTTTATCCCCTGATTTCAAGTCCACAAGGTCTCTCTTGTCTGCTGCAAGAATCACAAATTGATAAATTGTATAAATAGATGTTATAGTTAAAATGAAATGTTAGAACAAGGACTACTCTTTGCTGAAAAGATCAAAACCTGTTGCTTTCTTAATGCTTACAATCTTTGATGTACATGGTACCTTCCAAAGCCAAAAATGATTCCAAGTTAGTCACAACTTCTTCAGATATAAGAAACAATCTCTTTTTTCAATTTATTCATGTTGCAAAACAGCATATAAAATAAAAGGTTAATCGCAACTGTGTAAACTCAAAATTATCAAAACTTGCTTAACTTTGTCCCTAACAAATTAAGAGTAGTAATAAAATCATTTAAGGAGACAAAAAGCAGGAATTGGTCCACTGGTCCACGCCGCCACAAAGAAAGCTGGTGAAGAAATTGCACATACGTACAATCACATCTGCGGTCTTTCCATTACAGAATTAAGATTCTTCACTGTTTATGGACCTTGGGGTCGGCCAGATGTGGCGTATTTCTTCTTCACAAAGAATATACTAAAAAGAAACCCCATTTCAGTATTTCAAGGTTCTAATAGCAAAATTGTAGCAAGGGATTTTACCTACATTGATGATATAGTGAAAGGCAGTTTAGGGGCTTCAAATACATTAGAGAAGAGCACAGGAAGTGGAGGAGAGAAGAAGAAGAATGCACAATTAAGAGTGTTTAATTTGGGGAATGCTTTACCAGTTCCAGTAACAAAGCTAGTTAGCATATTGGAAAATTGCTAAAGGTAAAGGCCAAAAGAAATGTGTTGCCATGGCCAAGAAATGGAGAATATAAAATTTGGTCACACTTGAATTCGGATTCTTCTGTGAGTGAGTTGATCAGAACTCGATGATGTTTGTTATTTAGTTATTTTATTATAGCAGATAAACGCCTTGATCACATTTTTTTTGCGGCAAAATATCACTAAACCAGCCAAGCAGCACTAACATGTTAATGAAAACCTGACAATGGCTCATCTGGTAGGAATACACAAAAATTGCAATTACTATTTTAGTGCTCAAATATGCTATTTGTGATGTTTTACCCAAAACTATATATATCCTTGATAATCGACGCACTCACGGTGTAAATTATAGCAGCTCCCTCTGCTATTTAGTCATATTTCTTAAGAGATTATTTTTTAGGAATACATTTTGAAGATAAAAGAAGGAACGACCGGAAGATTTGAGAGAAGCTCGAGTGTGTGCAATTATCAGGCACTTGAAGCATGAGAGCTAGAGGGCTAGAAAGTTGTGCTCTCGTTCACTGAGAACGTTTAACTTGATTTAAATGTACAAGCTAATCACTTTCTCATTCCCTCCGTCCTTAAGTTATATAATGAAAGTCGCTTTGTTTATGTTCAAATTCAATTCAACAAAAACACCAGGATAGACCAAGATAAGAATTAACAACACAACCAAGCTCTTTAGTTTTTTGCCTAAGACCATAAAAGGCAGTCCTATGCATCATACTCAAGTGAAAAATGAAAAAAAATTAAGGTCATTATAACTCAAGTTATAAACAGGAAAGGAACAGTACAATACAGGAAAGAATTCAACTTCCAAATGTAACAATCTCGACAAAAAAAAAATACCGCAAATCCCCTCATATAAAAAAACCTCAATCATTTTTCCATGAAACCCCAAGTAACATTAACCATTTTACTTATTGAATCCAAGAAGAAAAACCCCAAAAAATAAATCACAAAACCCACCTACATTTCCCTTTTTACACAAATTTATACAAGAAACCCCATAACCAACATTCGAAAATGTGAATCATCGAACCGGTAATCAAAAAAATACACAAAAAAAGATAAAACTCAGTACTCCAATTATTTTCCTACAGTTATAAACAGAGACCAAAAACAGAGAAACACTCACAAGTTTGGAGGAATGAGAAATCGAGTTACGAGCCGATACAGTTGTATGATTTTCCGCTCCAACATTCAATTTCCGGCCTGATTATTCTCCAACCCCAATGAATTCGCCGCCATTGCTTGTCTCTTCGCCATGGCACTCGAAACTGACAAACGCCTATTCTGGGTCAAGAAATCGAAGAAGAAGAAGAAGAAGAAGAAAGCAATAAATGGACCGTTGCTACTCTGTAATTGTGAAAAATGCGAAGGAGTAATATATAAAAGCAATAAATAAATGATTAAATTATAATGCATAGGCGGGAAAAAGGGTTTAATTGTATTGATTTAATATGGACCGTTTGATTCGATTGAAGTATTCGTTAGAAATTGGACTCGAGACATGAAGGACCAATCATATGAAGACACCTAGGCTAATTTATAATTTGGACATGGAGTGTTTGAAAAAGTTAGAAAAATTATTAGTACTACGCATTGAAAAAACAACACTAATAACATATTCGGTAAAATCTCACTAGTTGAAATCCAAAGAAGATAGTGTGTAGACGTTGTATAAAAAGCTATTTAAAATTTCATGTTTTATTGTCACATTACCCGTATAGAAAAATATTTTTCTTTATCCACTTTATAAATTATAAATTGTTAGGAGTTATTACAATATGTGTTATTCTACTTCTTCTATCACAATATATATATATATTATTTTTTTGGGTATATTACATAATGTTCGATTTGGATGTAATAGCACAATATTAGATGATTATTTTGTTATGAAGCGGAAAATGAGTTGAATACAACTTTGAATTTTAGTGTCAATGTTTATGATTGTCGTTAATTCAAAAAATATTGAATAAGATTAAGCAAAATGATTCATATCAAATAAGCCGCACAACTAATTATATGTGATGAATATTGTGTTTTTTTTATTTTACAGGATTTCCCATAATATAAGTAGTACAATAATTTTCTCATCGGGTATTTATTGTATAAGCATTCATATCGAAGAGTCATGTGTTCGTAGTTGAATAAAAAACTTAATATTTTTAAATTAATTCAGTTTGTATTTTTACTGTATCTTTGGAAAGTTCAACAACAAAGTCTTCAACAGACAATGTCTAATGAATATATTTTCCTTTTTTTTAATACTTCACAATCATTTATACCATATTGTGTTATTTCAGCTATATCATTTATATCTATTCCTTCTGACCAAAAAAGTTTATATTTATTCCTTCAAAAACTTATCAATGTAAAACTAGAAAAATGTATGCATGTAATGCTTTTATTTGATTTTTTTGTTATATCTTATTTTTTAACATGTAGTCAGATTATTTTTTTTGCATATCTTATGTTATTATTTTTTAGTTTTGGTATTATAATATTTTTATCCTTTATATATCAATTAAATTTATAAAATATTATATTAGACGGTATGATGCCTGACAAGTTAATATTTATTCCTTGAAAAACTTATATCAATAAAAAAAAATAAAAAATGTATGCATGCAATGCTTCTATTTGAATTTATTGTTATATCTTATTTTTTTACAGTCTTGTTCTAATATTTTTCAATTTTTTTTTACATATTTTACGTTATATGTTTGTCATTTTTTAGTTTTGGTATTAAAAATTTTTGTCCTTTATATATCAATTAAATTTATAAAATATTATGTATGATCGCGTGAAACGCGGACAAGTTAATTAGTTTAAGATATATTTGTAATTGTTACATTTTATCACTCATTACACATATATTCTCTTATGATTTTTATCATTCTAATGAATCTAAAAAAATTATATGGAACACACGTGTAACACACGTGTCCAGAAACTAATAGAACTAAAAGAGTGAAGCATCCTTTGGCTGGGTGATCTGTGGTCAAATTCGTGTATAACTCAGTGGCATATCTATTGTGGATGGGCTTGAGTTCACGTGCACTCATGCTTCTTTGACTATAAATAGAGAGTTAGTTCAGTCATTAATTTGAAGAGAAAAAAATTATATGGGACACACGTGTCCAGAAACTAATAGAACAAAAAGAGTGAAGCATCCTTTGGTTGGGTGATCTGTGGTCAAATTCGTGTATAACTCAATGGCATATCTATTGTGGACGGGCATGAGTTCACGTGCACTCATGCTTCTTTGACTTTAAATAGAAAGTTAGTTCAGTCATTAATTTGAAGAGAAAATAATAATATGGGACACACGTGTCCAGAAACAAATAGAACAAAAAGAGTGAAGCATCCTTTGGCTGGGTGATCTGTGGTCAAATTCGTGTATAACTCAATGGCGTATCTATTGTGGATGGGCATGAGTTCACGTGCACTCATGCTTCTTTGACTATAAATAAAAAGTTAGTTCAGTCATTAATTTGAAGAGAAATATTTCTATAAATAAAAAGTTAGTTCAGTCATTAATTTGAAGAGAAATAAAATATTCCTCTCTCCCAATTTCTTTGACTATATCTCTTGTTGCCTTGATATTTTATTTTTATTTCATAACACGTTATTGACATTATATTCTACCCTCTCTAGCAAATAATAGGCAAGTCTCAAAAGTCAAAGATATATATGCATGCACTGCCCAAAAAAATGAAATAAAAGGAGTTGATTTTAGAAGTCATTCCATTATTTGTCAACGAAGTACTATTTTTTGCATTTACACCATTGCTTTTTTGGTAAGAAATCTATTAATTAGCATTCGGATTTTAATTCATGGGAACTTACCTAAATCTCACTAGTTTATGAGATAATTATTTAGATACATTTTAGTTTGTAATATTACGTATCTTATAAGATTTTGATGCCCTCCAGATACGTCTAGATACATGTATTTCTTATATATCAGGTCAAATTTATGTATAATTTATTTTGGATACATTGTATCCAAGTGAAATCGAATCTATCTGGAATACACAATAAATCTTCGTTCGCCACTCTCTCATGTTTCTGGTATCCCAGTTACATGCGAATCACTCCAGATACATGTCTTTAGTGTGTAATCTAGTGTGATTTGCATGTATTTGGGATACATACAAATCTCCTTCGCCAGATACATGTGAATCTCATTCGCCTCCCTCCCCAATCTTGTTTGCCTCTCTCCCTATTTTTGTGTATCTTGTCGCAAAAATACATATATCTAAGTGTAAGATATGTAAGAAACTCTTAATTAGTGGTAAGATACGGAATATTTTGAAAGTATAAGTAATAATAGTTTATATGATAATGAAGTATGTGTAATTATATAGTTTTTCTTTAATTTATTCACACTTTTGCTTAAAAAAAGAGATTAAGCACTTTTTTTAAATATGTATCTCTTGCAACTTTTAAATAAGAAAAGAAGATAAATTACTTGAAAATGACTAGAATTTTAACATATTTAGACAAATAGTTTATTTTTCAAAATCTTAATTATAATGATGCAACCCTCTTTTCTTAAAAAAAAATATATTTGAACTTCTTAAGAAAATCCACTACAAGTGAAACTTTATTAAAATAAGTAAATTTAAAATAATTTTAAAGCGGAAGAATAAGTAAACAAACTAAAAATGAGAAATTCTTATATACAACATATTGTAATTCAATAAAACTAAAATAACTTGCTTGCTTAATTTGGAGAAAGCTTATAATAATAGTTAGCGTATTTGATTAAGTAATTTGCGTTATTTCATAATTTCAATCTATGTTTTAATAATTATATTTTAATACATTTAGTTATAGTTGTATTCCATAGAGTGTAAGTGTAGAATTTTCATAATGTAAGTAGTGTAAATGTTCAATTTTAAAATACAAAGGGTGTATTTCGAATTAATTATTAATACATGAGTATTTAATATATAGGGCAAATTACAGAAATCACATACTTTT